GGCATGCGTGGATTCTCCTCTTTCTTTTTGTGGTTAGAGTGCTGTTTCCAGTCCTGGCACAGGCTCAGCAGCCTCTCTCTCATCCCCACCGACCCTGTAGCTTATCCTCAAACGCTCCCAGCAACGATGGGGCAAATGAGACAGCCTATAACGAGAGATCTCTGGAAGATGTAGACCCAGAAGGTAAAGAGAGCTTAGAGTACAGACCCTAGAAACTGCAAGGTTGCAGAATAACTGGCCAGCATCCTTCCTCCAGCTGTAAGCTAAACCTTTGCCAACACATGATGGTAATGGAGGCAAGATTAACTTGATCTATGCATTTGTAGGAACCCTAGCAGGGCCCATAGTGGGAATAGGGAAAGTTCTATACATTGCAACCTTTTTCTTGGCATTTCTTTTTTAAATCCAGCTGATGGGGGTTCTCCAAAAAGATGGAACACCCTTAAATAAATAAAATAAAAAAAGCCCGTGGGGTTCTTGGGAGTGATTCCTGCAGAATGCTTTTGGCTGTACCCCTTTGGTGTAAGAGGTACAAGCTTGGCAATACCAGCCAAATTTTAGCAGGGTTTGATTTTTCTTCTTTAACTACCCTGCTCAGTCTCCACATGTTCCCTGAGCTCGCCCTTGGCAGCATGCCCTCTCCATTCCCATTGCTGTAGGCAGGCTGGAAACTGACAATCAAGGTTTTCTAATGCTACCTCTGACCTTGCCCAAGGCTCCTGTAATGGGGAAACCCCTTCTTTGCAGGGACCCTCTACTACAAAATGCTCGCTTCCCAAAGAGCTGCCCCTCTTTCCTGGGAGAGAGACTGTGCTGCATGAGCACCAGAGACTCCAGGACTGTGGCCTTTCCTACCCGCCGCAACAAGGCTGTCTAGTTCTACAGCATGGGCTGCTCAGGCAAGGCCTACTCCATTGTTTGGATAAAACTAGCTCTGTAAGCTGCTGTGGGTCACAGACCAGGCAGGCACAAACTGTTGCGTGGACACTTCACCTACTGCTGCATTTCTTGCTTGCTGTCACCAAAACCAACAGGCCAGCTGGTGAGGAGCATGTAAGGCCTACACTCCTCAGTGGCAGCTTCAGACTGGGAGCGCACAGCATTTAGCTCCAGATCTGAGGCACCAAGACAGCTACTGGTGACCTGAACAAGAGCCCCTTCTGGGATCTGAAGCCTGTATCACGCTCCTCTTCCTCCCGCTTTTCCCCCCTGCACTTCAGACTGCCTCTGCAGCCCCCGGGACTGGCTGCTCTAGGACAAGTCGCACTTTTCTGCACAATCTTTTTAATAGGGGTAGGGGTTAAGGGAACCTTTTCCCAGCAGGACTGGCGAACAGACATTACCTGCGCTGATTGTATATAGAATAAGTATCCTTGTATATGTACTTATGAGAGGACCTGTTTTTAATGACTGGATTAATACCAAATTTTAATGCTGTATTTAATAAATTATTCCAAAAGAGATGGAGTGGTTTGTGCAAAATGCTTATTTCTACATGTCCATTCTGGCCCCTTCTTCCTTGTTGGTTCTGTGTATAAATCTGACTTTGGACAAGCACCCTCGTGATCTCAACTAGCAGTGAATGGAGTGAGAGAGGGGCAGGGGCTGGCTGTGTTCTTCCATCGGTCACCAACTCGTCTGTTTGCTCACTAGCCTGCTAAGCCACCCTATTCACTACTTAAGTCAAAGTAGTTTTAGTGGGCACCAGAAAGATGGTGACTTGTCTACTCAGATCTGGCCTGTAACAATTTTTAATGTCTGATCCTCCAAGATCAGGCAGCTTTTTTTTTTTTTTTAGTGCATTTTACATATGGTTGTAGCCAGCCTTTGGCCAAACCATTTCAGTGCAACACCCTTAAGGAGTATTTCCCCATCTGTGGTGTCTTTTATACAATGTTGCAGTCTGAGCTTGGGCTGTGGAGGCAACCACACACAAGTCTGTATAGCCAGGTCTGACATGTGAGGTAACATGTCAAGGAGTTCTTCTGAGGTCTGTCTGTCTTCCCCCAGCCTCCTAATGCTTATCTAGCTGCTTGAAGGATAGTTCAAACGCTTGAACCAAATAACACCACTCCAGTCACAGCTGTCTGCTTCTACCCTGAAGGGGCTGACACTTCTCTGGCACATCATGAATATTTAGAAGCAAAGCTCATTTAACACTTCTTCCTTTCCCTTCTCTCCTCTCCCCCCATTTTTGTTAAATATTTGTTCTTACCTGAGTGACTCTAGGCTTGGTAACCTGCTCCCTGCAGTGTCCCCTTCTGATTTAACCAGGGCTGTAAAAACTGGTGTGCTATAGATGTTATACAGGATCCCGACCTTTCCTCCAGCAGTCTATGCAATTGTCCTTGTTCCTCTGCTACAGTTGGAGTCCAGTTCCCCTGAAGTTGGTGTAAAGGGTCTGGTTTACAGTGGTGGGTTCTGGATTAGCGTATACTTTGGGAATGCCACAGGACTCTTCCCAGCCATGGGTTTAGAAAAATTAACATGTGATGACATTCCCCCTAGCTTCTTGGCTCTGTGCAGTAATGTCCTGGTGGCTTTCCAAATAAATTTTCTTCTGGTTCAGTGCATTGCAGTCCCTGGAAAACTCTCTTTGGATATGGGGATGAGGGGAATGCACGAAGCCAAAGAGCTGCTGTTTCCAAAGGTGGGGTGGGGGGGTGACTTCACTAGGCAAGCATTTCTGGGTGTATGTTGGCAGAGGTGACAGTCTGCAGGCATCAGTCAGTGGCACTAAAAATCTCACAAATGCCTTGAGGCACTTGGGGAAGATGGCTGCAACCATCAGCTGGGTGCTGATCGGAGGGTATCCCTGCAGGCGTGGTCTGCTGTAGATCCTGCCAAATGGTTTCCTGTTCTTTTGGCTGTGGTGCTAAATGGATTTGTGATGCAGTCTGGGAGGAGCACCTCCTGTGTTCCTAGCAAAAAGCAGAGACTTGAACTTGGGTCAAGGAGCCTCCACAGAAATGAAAAAGTGCTCTAAGCATGCCCTCCTTGTTTTCCTGCTAACATAAGCTAATGCAAGCTCATGTCTGTTTTAGCATCCAGCACAGCAGCCTTTGACACAGTTTCAACAGCGCTCCATGATTAAGCTTTAGCTGCAGAGTGCTTGAGCCTGCCTGCCCAAGCTGTTTCCCTCTGGATGTTGACTCTTTAAATGCTGTTGCTTTTAAACTCTCCACTCACACAGTTGAAAGTAAGCGGCCTACAGCTTTCGGTGCTGCTTGTCATTCCCCCTTTCTGACCACTCCCTGCCTTTAGCGAGCTATTTGGGAGGGGAAGACTGTGGAATCTAAGCTTATGGCTGCTGCCAGGAAGGCCAGAAACCTCTTGTGAGCATCAGTACGGGAATCCTTGTTCCATGGGTGACTGGTGCCTCCCAAGTCTGGGGGGAGGCATGAGTGGGAGGGGGTGGGGAATCCCCTAGCAACTAGCTGGCAAGCAGGGGCTCCCCCAGCAGCTGCTCACCAAGCACACTAGCACTTCTGCATGTGGCATGGCAGCAGAGCCAAGTTTAGGGGGGCACAAGTACTCTCTGTGACTCCCTACCAGCTGGAGTGCTTGCTGTTGGGAGGGGCACATGCCCCACTACACCCTGCCTATGCCTTGCTGTGCTGGATGCCCCTGCTGGGAAACTGCCTGCTAACCAGTCTTGTGAGCCTGAAGGGTTTCTCTTCCAGGTGTGTTCTGTGGTGTTAGTTTATAATTGCCAAAGGCCAGGGCTTGCTCCATTGAATTGAAATGAAATGGTAACACTTTCACTGTCCCTAGTATAACTCAATCCTCCTCCCATCCATTTCCATTGGAGGACGTCTCCCAGCCTTATCTAGAGTGTTCTTTGGTAGCTGCTTGGTTTGGCATGCAAAGGAATTGCCAGGTCATGTCAGATGTGTGGTCCCTTCATCCTACATCTCTAACAAATGATGCAAAAGGATAGTACAAGAAGCCCTGCAGCAGGGATATATGGGATAATCTGATCTTAGGCAAACAAGTGGGAGGAAAGCTTCTTCCTAATTCCCACCACAGCTAGCTCATGCCAGGAGGCAGAAGGGTTTGTATCATTCCTTGCTGAACCTGTTTGGTGGTTTTTTTTTTTCCCCTCAAACACTTGCTTCTAGAACTGTAGGTAAACATTATATATAGATAATGAAGTAAATCCTACTAAAGCTTATAGCCTTGACTTCCTGTGACCAATGTGTGCCACAAACTTAAATGGGCCCTTAAATGGGGAGGAGGTCTTTCCTCTGTTAGCGGTTTTCATTCTGGATGTCCTCTACCAATCTCATCTAATCCAAACCCCTGCACAAATGGTCCTCAGCTTATCCTATTATGGAAAAGGGGAAGAAGCCATTCCTGCCCAAAGAATGGCACAAGTACATAGGGATTCATTTAAATTCCTGGATCAAGCCTCTTAAAACAATTGTTGGTGGTGTGTTTTACAGAGGAGGGGGGAGGAGTAGGGGATGTGAGTGAATTTGCAAGCTAATTGTTTCCATATTGAGCATTCAATGGCTAGCACCAAAAATATCTTGTTCCTTTTTTTTCTTAATTTATCTTTCTGTTTGTCCTTGTCCTGCTGTCCAAATGTGGAGCCTCCATTTTTATTGTCTTCAATGGTGTTTATTCTACTAAACACTGTTTTTGGCACTTGTCATTTCATTGCACATGTGAGATGGAGAAGTGGAAAGTGGGGGAGGAGGGAGAGCTCCTCGTCTTGCAGATCAGTTTTCACTTCTTTGATGGAGTTATTAGTTAATGCACACACGTGGTGAGCGGTCGAATACATTTGAAACTACCCTGCCTCCTCTTTGTCTACTTGAACTATAGTCGTTTTACTTGATGGCCAGATGTTCCATTAATGTTATCTCATGGCCTGAAGCCACTAGGAAAGAAAAAACAGGGTTTGAGAATATAATCTGAGCATCTTATTTTCTTTCCTCCTTTTTTTTTTCCTTTGAATGG